CCATGGTGTTGGGGCTGGTGGGGTGACCATCTCCGTGGCGTCGGGGCTGGTGGGGTGACCATCCCCGTGGCGTCGGGGCTGGTGAGGTGACCATCCCCATGGCATCGGGGCTGGTGGGGTGCTGCTCTCCAGGGCTCACCCTTTGCCCTTCCCCGCAGGGCGAATCCGGCTCACCTGGCGAGAACGGCTCCCCTGGCCCCATGGTGAGTATTTGGGCTGGGAAAGGGGGAAACTGAGGCACGGGGGGGGTGGGGGGTGTTGCCCACCCCCCTCCCCAGCCCTGGGCCGGACAGCACAGAGCCCGACCTGCCGCCGTGTTCCCCCCCAGGGTCCCCGTGGGCTGCCTGGAGAGAGAGGACGTCCCGGCCCCTCCGGCGCTGCGGTGAGTGTGGATCCCCAGTGGCACCCGGGTGACAGGGGGCTGCCAGCAGGAGGGGGTCCCCCATCCCTCCGTGGTGCCCCCCGTGACTCCTGCCGCCGTCTCTCTCCAGGGTGCTCGTGGCAACGATGGTCTCCCCGGCCCGGCTGGACCCCCTGTAAGTAAAGGGCTGCTTGGCCCCTTCCTCTGCTGCCGGACCCCGTGTCACCCCGTGGGGGACAGCAGGGTCCCCCAGGACCGCCCAAAGCCTGGGCAGACCCTCACACTCCTCTCGCCCCCCAGGGACCTGTCGGCCCAGCTGGAGCCCCTGGCTTCCCCGGTGCCCCCGGCTCAAAGGTAAGGGGGAAGGGGCTGCTCCCAGCAGGGGAAACTGAGGCACAGCGTGGGCTGTCCCCCCCTCACCCCGTCTTTCCTCCCTCCAGGGTGAAGCTGGTCCCACCGGCGCACGAGGTCCCGAGGGTGCCCAGGGTCCCCGCGGTGAATCCGGCACCCCCGGCTCTCCTGGCCCTGCCGGTGCCCCCGTAAGTGCCATCGCTCACTGTGTCCCCCCTGCAGTGGCTTGTCCCCCGGTGTGTCCCCTGGCCTGGAAGCCACGGGGATGGGGCTGATCCTGCGAGCAGGGAGGGGGGGAAGGGGTCATCCTTTGCTTGGCGGTGGGGAAACTGAGGCACGGGGAGCAGAACCAGGCTCAGTGGTGTCTTCTTTTAGGGTAACCCAGGGACTGATGGCATCCCCGGCGCGAAGGGCTCAGCGGTGAGTATGGCTGGGGATGGGGACGGGGACAAGGTGTCCTGAGCCACTGGGGGAGGGTCAGGGCTCGGGAGGGGTCTGGTCCTGGGCAGGGAGGAGGCACTGCTGAGGGCTGAGCTGTGATTTGGGGACACATGGGGACCCTGGGGTTCATGGGGGACACGGGGATGCGGGAGGATGCTGGGGGATCGGAGGATGCGGGATGCTGGGGGATGTGGGGTGCTGGGAGGTACTGGGGGATGCTGGGGAACATGGGATGCTGGGGGGCATGGGGACGCTGGGGGACATGGGGATGCGGAGGGATGCAAGGATGCTGGGGGACACTGGGGGATGCTGGGGGTTGTGGGATGCATGTGGGACAGAGAGTCGCTGAGGGGTGTGGGGATGCTGGGGGATGTGGGATGCTGAGGGACACTGGGGGTTGCTGGGGGACACTGGGGGGTGCTGGGGGACACTGGGGGGATGCTGGAGGACACAGTGGGATGCTGGGTGATGCTGGGGGACACTGTGGGACATGAGATACTGGGAGACCGTGAGGATGCTGGCAGATGCGGGACACTGGGGGATGCAGGCGGGGACGCTGAGGGAGGCGGGAGGACACAGGGGACATGGGGATGTCGGGGGACACGGGGCCGAGCCGTGCCCCCCCTGACGGTGGCCGGCTGCCCGCAGGGTGCCCCGGGCATCGCCGGCGCTCCAGGCTTCCCCGGCCCCCGCGGCCCACCCGGACCCCAGGGTGCCACCGGCCCGCTGGGACCCAAGGGACAGACGGTAAGAGCCCCCCGAGAGCCCCCCGAGAGGGGGACCACGGCCCTGGCCCCGCCCACCGCCACCTGGCCCCGCCCACCGCAGATACACCCCGCCCACCGGCAACTTGCCCCACCCACTCTTCACCTTGCCCCGCCCGTTCTGGCGCAGGCCACGCCCCCATTCCCCAACCCCTTGCGGGTCCTCTCCCGAGTCGCCCTTGGGTCACTCCCAGGTCACCCGGTCCCCAAAAGGGGCCACCGGGAATGGGGATGAGGATGGGGACGGGATGAGGGTGGGACGGGGACGGGGTCCGGGACGGGAATGGGATGGGGATGGGATTGGGACAGGATGGGTACGGGAATAGGATGAGGACAGGGACAGGATGGGGACAGAAATGGGATGGGGATGGGAATGGGATGAGGATGGGATGGGGACAGGGACAGGATGGGGACAGGGATGGCATGAGGGTGGGATGAGGACAGGGACAGGATGGGTACAGGAATGGGAACAGGATAGGGACGGGGATGGGTCGAGGATGGGATGGGGACAGGGATGGGCTTGGGGACAGGTAAAAGGACTGGGATGGAGATGGGGATGAGGAAAGGGATGGGGACAAGGATGACAATGGGGACAGGCACGGGGACAAGGATAGGGTTGAGGTGGGGGTCAGGAATGAGGACAGGAGTGGGGGAGAGGAAAGGGGATGGGGACAGGAGTGGAGACAGGACTGGGGACAGGGATGAGGATGGGCACAGGAAAGGAGACAGGGATGGGGTAGGGAAAAATTTGAGGGTGGGCTTGGGGACAAGGATGGGAGCAGGAACGAGGGATGGGAATGAAGATGGGGACCAGAGAGGGAATGGGGACAAGGATGGGGACAGGGATGGGGATGGGGACAGGGATGCAGATGGGGACAGGGATGCAGATGGGGACAAGCAAGAAGTCGGAGACAGACAGGCATGGGGGCCAGGGTGTGGGGAAGGGACTGGGGACGGGGACAGCCATGGGGACGCTGCGGCCTCGTCCCTCACTGCCCTCTCGCTCCCCAGGGAGAACCCGGCATCGCGGGCTTCAAAGGCGAACAGGGACCGAAGGGCGAGACGGTGAGTCCGGGGTGGGGTGGGGTGGGGGGGCCACATCCAGCACCCCCCACCTCAGCTGGGGGTCCATCCCGCGGCCCCTCGCTCCCCGTCCACGGCCGGAGTGTCTCGTCGGCGTCTAACGAACCTCTTCCCCTAACGAGGCCCCTCGAGGGGCAGCGTCCCCCCTCCCGCGGGGGAACAATAGCTGCTGTGTTCGTGTCCCCCCCCACCGGGGACATTCCCCCCTCGCTTCATTAACCAGCCTCAATGCGCGGGGCTGGATCCCCGCCGCGGTGGCCGCCGAGCCCCGGCGCCGGCGGGACACGTGGCACCGGCAAGGGGCTCCTGCCCGGCACCCCTGGGGTCTGTGATTTATTGGGGGGGTGGGGGGAGAATGCAGGCAGGGCCCCCATGGTGCGCCATGGGCTCCTCGTGACCCCTTTTCCTCCTCTTCCTCAGGGACCCGCAGGACCCCAAGGTGCCCCCGGGCCGGCTGGCGAGGAAGGCAAGAGAGGAGCCCGCGGTGAACCTGGTGCTGCCGGCCCTGTGGGACCACCTGGAGAGAGGGTGCGTGGCCCCCCCGCACCCTCCAGTGAGATGCTGCTCCCCAAACCCCCCCCCCCCCACTTCATTCCTCCTCCTCCTCCTCTTCCTCCATAGGGTGCCCCCGGCAATCGCGGCTTCCCCGGGCAGGATGGGCTCGCTGGACCCAAGGTGGGACATCGGGATCATGGGTGGGGGGCAGTCCAGAGGGGTGACCACCCCCTGAACCCCCCCCCACTCCTTCTCCTCCCTCCCACCCCGCACAGGGTGCTCCGGGCGAGCGCGGTCCCGCCGGCCTCGCGGGTCCCAAGGGAGCCACCGGCGATCCCGGGCGCCCCGGAGAGCCCGGGCTGCCTGGAGCCAGGGTAAGAGCTGGGGGGTCGGATCCTGCACCCCTCATAGGGGGCGGAGCTGGAGGGGGGGGTGGGTTGCCTGGGGTGTGGGGGGGCTCCCCGCTGCGCTGGGGGGGCTCGGCTGGGGGCGGGCCAAGTGGGGGGGGG